CACACACACACACACACACACACACACACACACACACACGTTCATTCACACACATCAATTTTAAAGTCTCCCTTTATATTTCCAATAGAGAAACATATTCATATCTTAAGAGAACTTTTCTTAGTTATTTTATATTTTCTGAGATGAATTATTTTCCTTTTGTTAAGGCTATTACTATACTTTTGATTGCTTTGTTTTGTTTTAATCTTGGCATGATAAAAATATATTTTTCAAATTATATATACGAGCATAAACTTGGGAACATTTACCTTAGTTATCTTCAAGAATGAATAAAGGAATCAACATCCATGGCACTGGGCCAAAAGGAAAATTAGAAAAATTAAAAATGGTTTTAAATAACATTTTGTCACTAGGCGGTTTATCATCGAGTTTTTGCCAAACTCTGTGTGTTTAATGTTGTTTGCCTTTCCTGCTCACATCCTGAATTATTTGTGATGTGTTTGTGTGAGTGTCTGGAAACACAATTGTGATCAGAGTGCTATTTAAACATTATGTTGCTTAGCAATTAAAGAACATTCAAGATTCATAGTAAATTTTCATACATTATGAGTTAGTTAAGTAGTTTAAAACTTTAGAAACATTGTTTGATGAAATATTTTATTTGTCTCACATACATAATGAAAAGAATTTACAGGAATAAAAATAACAGTGTTCACCTAAGAGCAGTCAATGTAAGACAAGTCAGCCCTGGGCTCTTTCCAGTCGAGCTTAATTGTGGCACCACAATGAGGACATTGTTATCCCAGGTTTTACCTACCTGGTGCACTCATACATAAACACAGAGAGTTCCAACACAGAAAAGCCTAGTGACTGTAAACTTCGCCATAAATCTAGCATGGGCTGCAGAACACAGAAGCAGAACGAAGACATCAGAATGAGCATTAGAATTAGGTAGGAAGTTCACTAGTGTATTGTATACACAAAGTCTCCTTAGGGGTTGACTCAATGAGTGATGCGACCTGTGTGGACATTTCTCTTTTATTTGCACAAGGATGAAAAGGAAGGACTTAGGAAACCTTTAGAATGATTTCTCAGTTCCTAGAATTCAGCAGTTCAGTAATTTGCTTCCATGACATAAACAGGCCAACATGAAAGTACCAAATGGCTTAACAAATGTTGATGTCTTGGTAACCTATTGAAAAGCACAATTAATATTTTAATTAATTCTTAAATTATGATTTACTTATTAACAAGATGTTTGTGTCTGTGTTGACATGGTGCAGCTACTTACATTTTGGATCAGATAGAAGACTGTGAACCTCATGACCTGTTCAAATAGACCTCCAGGAAGTTCTTGGTTTTATTATTTCACCTGCTGAGAAGACACCTCCACATGGTTAGGATGACCTGAAAGCAATATGCTACTCACTGATGTAGAAACTGAGTTAGCCTGACCAGATCATGTAGTGTCTGACTGACCAATATCCAACTTTGCTTTTAACTTGAACACTTAAAATATCTCACTAGACACTAACAGAATCATTCATCACTGCTGAGGTGTCTTTTGCATCAGTTTTAGATTGATGATGTAGACTATTCACTGCTACTCTTACTTATAGTCCTGATTCTTAACTTGTGAAGCCAAAAGGCTCATGCCAGCAGAAGTACATGGGGAAGGAACACCGTAAAGCAACCATACAAGCCCCGAACCTTAATGTTGAATACTGGTATCTTTTAACTTTTCTGAGTCAAAATAAAACAAATGTTTCTCTGAATTATATAATATAATAATCTCTTACTCCAGGGTGGGTAGAGGTGAGGAGAGGATCTACAAGGAGTTGGGGGATGGTAGACACATAATTCTAATACATATTATATGAAATAGTGTATGAAAAAATTTCAATGAAAATTACATACACTAAAAAGAAACTTGACATCAACCTAGAAACAGTCTAGTCTAGAGGGGTGGTGCAGGGGTACAGTCATAATATCTTCAGACAATGGGAATTGTGATTTTAAGATTTAAACCAAATTTTCCCAAGTTTCTGCATTCATGGTTCACTCAGTTAGCTACCTTTGTTAGCAGTCAGTGTGACATGTATTCCACTGAAAGGAGGATTTACCTTCTCATTCCTGTATCCTAATGCATGACCTCGCTGTGCTCTAAAGAAGGAATTTTGAAAGAGTTTCCATTTTATCTAATTTTTACAATTCAGTAACCCACTTAGCTATATAAACATAGTTTCCCCTTAAAAACAAATATCTTATAGAAATGTGTATTTGCTCTCAGCTCAAGACCTTGGTGGATTTTCACCTAGATTAATAACAGAACTCAAATATGAGAGTCTTAAAACTAAGTAGTGTTTGTTATCTATTGCTTATTCAATAAACCATGATCACTAGGGACACATCACACCGAAAACTCGGAATAGAAGACTCAAGCAAGGTAAAGGGATGGACAGTCAAGAAAATCAACTGACTTTTAAGTATAAAGAAAATGATGGGATGGCAGAAAATTTCTGTATAAAAATTTCAAAATACTTCAGACAGTATACAATACTGCTAATTGTTACACTGATACTAACTCTCAGTGGCATTCTTGTGACTTTACATTCCAAGTCTGACATTCATTTCCCCATGTATTCATTCTAAAGTGCATTTACAATACCCCACCTTGCTTATACATGTCAGGATCACTAAATAGACCAAGCCATGATCTCAGTTACAATGGGACCCTAGCTAATTTTAACCACAGAGGTAGTTAGTTTCGTTTTAGTTTTTAAATTTAAATCTTTTTCGCCCATCAGGCAGTAGATGGCTGTGGTCATGGAACTCAGCACACAGGTCTGGAGAGATGGCTCGGATTCCCAACACCAACTTGATGGCTCACAGACACCCTTAATTCACCCTCTACTGACTTCTGAGGGCACTGCCTCCTACTTCATCTGCACTGTATACACATGTATACATTCAGGCCAAGCATTCACACACATAAAATAGAACAGATCTTTCAACTGGAAAATATATATACATATATATATATATATATATATATATATATATATATATATATATATGCATACTATTACCAGGAAGGATTGTGTGTCTATGGTGTTGTGATATTTGTTAAAAGACTTCCCCAAATCTGTATCTATATAAATGAGCTTCATATGAATGAAGGGTCCCTGAGGTTAACAAGGACATATCTGTATTGTAAATCTCAGACTCATTCTTATGAATTCATATATAATACAACACTCAGAAAACAATCAATTAGGTGGTACATGGTGAATAAATAATGTATAAGAAATTGAAAAAAACAAAGAGAATAACTCACATGAAAATTGAAAGATAATGGAAGAAAATTAATTTGCTTTCCAATTTTCATATAATTTGAATACCCAGATGCTAGAAATATGTATGTACATTGGTACATATATAAATATACATGGATGTTTGCATGTTTGCATAATTCTGAACTGACTGCTGCATTCTTTATTTCACCGTCATTGGAAAATATTTTCTGTGTATCTGGAGGCACATCTATAGGTGATGTGTTTGCAGTTAGAAACAGAGATGACTGTAGGTAGACATCCTCCTCCCTCAGGACCAGCACTGTGAGTGGGCAGTGTTCACACTGTGGTGTGATCCTCCTGCCTCCTACTTCATCTGCACTGCTCTACCAGTGTGCTTCTCTGGGACTTCCTATTCCAGAGGCAAATCTTTTGAATTGCCCATAGCAGCATGCTGATCATCTAAGTAATTCCCGTGATTTTATAGGTTGCTAACCATTCATGGAGTGTGGTAAATTATCATTAGAAAGTATCTGCAGTCTTCACTTTGCCATTTTCTACAAATGTACATTTTAATGGTTGCTTCTTATTTTACCCCTCTGTTTCTTTCATCTGATATCAGTCACTAGGCCAGTATTTTTTCCTTCAGAAATGTGACTAAATTTTTGTCAATGTTATGGCATATTATTTTAAGCGCACAGCTATTAAACAAGTTAAAATATTACTATATGTGAAATGTGATGCTGTGTGTAAATATGTATATGTGTGAATGTGCACATGCACACACAAACAGACACACACACACAGACAGACATACAGTGAGCAAGTAAGGGAACAGAAAAAGAAATATGAGGAAGTTTAACTATTTCTAAAAAATGGTTTATTTTTATGTTTTTAAAACCTCCTGAGTTTGTATTTGTGTAATAAATATCTTATTGTAAATGTCTTATAACCCCCTGCATATATTTTAATTATTAGATTACAATACATTTGTTGCTGCATACATTTCTATTGTTTTGCTTAGTGAGAAAATTTACCTCACCATTTTCTGCTCCTCTCATTCTGGTCGTTATGGAGTATTTTCAGTACTTCAGCTTTCTTATAAGGAACCTTTTAGTTAACAGCAATTTTTTCTTTGGTCATATAGCACTAACCTATAAAAATAAAAGTAGCCAGCCACTTATCATTAATAGTATTGATTTTATATGATATTTAAATAATAAATATTAATACTTATTTTTATATACCAATACTAAAATACAAGATATGCCTATATCTGCCCCATGTTTCTATGCTGAGATTACCTATATCTGTCCCACAACAGGACATTTTCTGTCCCTGGGAGGAAGTTGAAGGATATTGGTGCCCTAATTTTTAATACTCAATATTGACCTTTAATTTACCATTTTATTATACTATATGAGTTAATATTTGATTTGGTTACTTAAACAGTTTAAATAATTTTAGTTTTAGTAAGTTTTGTATACAATATATTTTGATGCCATTCTCTCCCTGTCCCCAACTTGTCCCATATCTTTCCTACCTCTCTACCTATCAAAATTCATGTTCTCTCTCTCACAAAAAAACACAAAACATAAAATAAAATAAAACAAGAAAACAACAACAAAATACTTTTCATTTTGGTATGTAAACATTTGAAGCTTCTTTTAAACTTAAGTTTAAAGTGTACTCAACCTCTTCTTTTAATTTTAAATTTTACAAAACCTTCTATAGATCAGGAATGTCTTACCAAATCTAAACAGTCCAGGCTGGACATAAGAGCACTCTCCTCAGCGGGGACAGCCGCAACATTACTTTATTGCCTACACCAAGCTGAAAAGTTCCCTTAGTCTCCGAGGAACCTCACCTCAGGTAAAACCAGATCCTTAGACTGGAAGCAGAGAGGAGTTTCAGGATAAACAAGTAGGAAATAGACTTGGGGTTTGTCAAATATTGAAAAAAAAATGGTGCTCAGCAAAGAATAAAGCTTGGGTGTGGGATTCTCAAAGAGCAGCTGCAATTGGTGTCTTAGGATCCATACATCATTTTGGTGCTTCTTCAATTAGATCTGAAAGGCTTACTAAGAAATGTTTTCTTCTTTGTTTCTTTTCCCTTCTCCTATAGGGTGGCTCCAGACATATATTCATGGGTGGGATTACAGTCTGATAAAGTCAGGAGCCACTTGGTTTGCAGGAGGAAATTAGACATGTCCTTTACTGTGAATAGCACTTCCAGCCAGATTTCTATACAATCTGAGACTAACAGTTGGGAAGAGAAAAAGGCCTTCAGCAAGTGATAACTGTGTTGACATTCTTTATACTGCAGTGTCAAGAGTCTCCATACAGACTCTACCTGAGGGGATTCTCTTCTTCCCATGACTTCATAGTTTTCTAGTATACGTCAGCATAGCCTTATAATACAACTCGGCATCTGAAGGGATAAGGTGGTGGATTGCGAGTTTTAGGTCAAAATGAACTATACAGCAAGTTCCAATCTAGGTTACCTTGCATAGAAAATTCTTGTTTCAAACACACACACACACACACACACACACACACACACACACACACACACAAATGAAAAATAGCATTTGCATGAAGAAATGCTAAAATTAAAATTATAACTGAGGCTGAAAAAGGAAAATGACCGACTGATCGTTTCGTTCGAGGGGTGGGGGATGGCTCAATGGATAACTGCTTGCTGCATAAGGATGAAGACCTGAGTTTGAAGATTCTCCAGCTGAAACCCCTGTGCTGATGGGCAGAGATGGGTTCATTCAAGGGGCCAACCTTGCCAGCCACTCTCACAGAAATGAAGCTGGGGTTCCGAGACAGACTCTCATGATGATGATGATGGTGGTGGTGGTGGTGATGGTGATGGTGATGGTGATGGTGATGGTGATGGTGATGGTGATGGTGATGGTGATGGTGATGGTGGTGGTGGTGATGGTGGTGGTGGTGGTGATGGTGGTGATGATGATGATGATTATGATGAAACAATAGAGGAAGACGCATACATGGTGTCTGCCTCTGGCCTCCATACATGCATACACAGGTGGGAACACCTACATGCCCATTTTTTACACACACACACACACACACACACACACACGTACGTATGTAAGCAATTGAACTAAAAATATAAAGATAAAGTAAAATAAAAATGATAATTTAGATTCGTTACATGACTTAAGAGAAATATTTCTTTGATCTATGACTTTTTGCTTCTCATATTTTAAACTTAGTAAAACTTAAAATTACACATCTCACTTTACATTTTAACAGGAAGTATGATAATATGCCATGTACTGTAGTATACTCTATTCCTACTGTGTATTTATGCTATTTATTTATTTTAATCTGTAGACATCTGCTTTTACTAGAGTTCTGATTTAATTATTATCATTTACTTTAGAGTTTATAGTTGGACGCTTCATTTGTGTGGTCTGCATGCTTATGGTCTCTCTGTCATTTCAGTTCCATTCCTAAATGCAAATTGTGTTCGATGGGTATGCAGAGGCAAGTCCTTGTCTTGTGACTCAGTGGTTCCTAAGATAAGCTTGCTGGAAATCATCTTTGCTTCATGCTAAAGGTGTGTGAGACAAGTCTCAAATGGAGAAAGAGTCATCTAGTTGATTAGAGTAGACAGGCTTTTGGTGTCACTTTTCTTAACCAAGGTGGCACTGTCTTAACTTCTGTCACTTCCCAAGAAAGACATCTCAGCCCATGGGTATGGTTCAGAAAGAAACATTCAGGAAAAGAATGTATAAGTTGTATATTTATTTTGAGAAACTATCACCCAGCCGAGATAGAGGGGTTAGTCTATTCACATCATCTTGTGTGTGGGAATCTTTCCAGTGAAAAAGCAAAGAAGCCATAAAATTAAAGAAAACATCTATGGAGCCCTCAGACACTCAAAAATGCCATCTCCTTTTCTTTTCTTCTGGAATCTCTCTTTCCGTGGAAACTCATTCTCAGATCTCTAAAATAAAACAAATATCAAGATCCTGTTTTTTCCTCCTTCTTTCTAAAATTCGCCTGCATCTGCTCTTGAGGTTCAAGTTCAATGCAAATTGGGGGAAATGCTGCATTACCGTGGAGAATGATTAAATTAAAATGGGACCACCATGAACTGGGTTCCTTATTCCCTCGATGTGATCTGTGTCTTTTATAAATAAATTATGACATCTTTAGAAATTTTTTTGCTAAAGAGTTTAAAATATTGCTTTAGTTCCTAGTCTAGAGAAAGAAATTGGGACTTTAAAACAATCAAAGTCATATGAAATTAACTGTCTGATTCCAAAGTTACAGATAAAACTAAGCACTTCCAAAATTCTTTGCTAGAAAGATTTGATGCAAAAATCTGTTATATTAGTTAATAGAAAACAACTCCATAAAGTCCAATTGAATAAATAATTTATTTAATTTTTAAATGGAGGAGAAATTTACCCAGTAAATTATTTTTTTGGTGATACTGGTGTGTAATTGCTTAGAAAGTCTACCACACAACAAAACAACTCAAAGGTAATGTCAGCTTCTATAATCCTTACAGAACACATAGCTTTCTTTTTTACCTTTCCATCTTGTGGTAAGGGTTCACTATTAAATTTAAATAGTGTATGCTGAAACTCTGTTTAAATGTGTACTTTGTATTCTTTTCCAATTCTCTTTCTTTGAGAGCAAAGTGCATTCCACACATCATAAATTAATACTGAGAAATCTGAATGTACCCCAATAGAGTCTCTCAGTGATGTCTGGAAAGCCAGGCCCTTGTTTATTCTGTGTGTGGCCACTTTGGTTATTAGTGGGGTAACACTGGCTGCCTTGCCCCAGATTTATGAGACTTGGCAAAGACCTTGAGAAAACAGAGCCCAGTTTGTCTCAGCAGAAAACATTATTAGATACTAAATAAACATTAATTTAGGTAAACTGGTTCTCCTCAGTCCAAAGGAACTCGTTCTTATTCAGATTTCACTCTGATGGATGAAAAGCCACATGAGGGAATTTCGTTATAGAAACCACAAAGAAGGTCCATTTAAGTAATAGCTAAAGCTGTATCCCTAGGACACCTTCATGGTCCTTTCTGGAGAGCAGTGGTCCTCTGCCAGGGATGGCATGCATCATGTCCTTCTCCCATGGGGGAAAGATGAAGGAAACACTCCATCTTTTCAAAATAGCACAGAATACCCAATAGTGCAATGATTGATTTTCTCTGGATTCCAATGAATCTTTGAGAAATGAAGCATATTGTGCATTTAATTAACATTTGGTTCTGAAATAGATTATGGACTGTGACAATTTTGAGATTGAACATGAGGAGGTTAAAGCACTCCAAAAAGTAACTTGAACTCTCTCATCAAGAAGTGAATGTCATAAAAAAGATGGGAAAGTGAGTGGCTGATGTGTGCATTAAGTTAAAAAGAGAGAGAGTTGCTGCAAGGACATTATGCCATATCGCGTTGGATCCTGGGCTGGAAAAACCAGCTGTGAAAAACATTTTGAGATCATCTTGAAAATTAATGTAGATGAATTATTAAATAATAAAATAGTTAATAATAATAATAATTAATTTAAGCAGGTTATTAATTATAATGTTCATTCAATTACTACTGTAAAATGCTGCTGTAAAATATATCTACATTTATGCATGTATAAGTGAAAACTCCAGAAAAGATACAGAAAAATTGCACAGCAACAATTTAAACTGGACAATGGATGAAAATATATCTTTATTTTCTTCTTTTTGTGTGCCTGTAATTTTAACCCCTCAGATTCAGATTTGCTTAGAAGTATCAAACTTGTTTCCAAACAATATGAAACTGATCAACATTACTTCTTTTCTTTGTTGTAATGGCTCTCAATGAATCTCGAATTATTTTTAGGGTACCAAAAATACAAACCTTTCTCTGAATGAATGACTATTCTAAGTCTTCACTATGACTAATAATTCTATACAGTTATTCATTATTAAGACATTCCCGTGAGGGAACCAGAGGAAATTTGGTTTAAATGGATTTTGCTGTTAACAGGGAGTCCTTGGTAATTAAAACTGGTTGATAATGCACCTGCTTTGCATGCTATAAGCTATGCATTAGAGGGAATAAATAATAGATGTCAGAGTCAGGAAATAAGAACTAAGAACTCTGCTGTAACCTGTCAGAGAGGAGGTGCTGTGGTTGCTGAGTGTGATGGATCTTTTCCATTTTGTGTGTAACACTCATTAACATTACATCTTACACTTTTTGATATAACCTGACAGTTTTGTTTTCTATTCCTTACTTACTGCTCTGTGTGTAGAGAGATCATGGGACACCTTCTTCGAGGTGGTTCTCTCCTTCTATGCCTAGAGTCCTGGAAACTGAACTCTCACCCTCAGTGGCAAGCACTTATACCTGCTGAGTCATAGCTCTTGCCCTGTTTCCTTAACAATAATAGCTCTGGTAAAGTGAATACTTTTACTCACACTGAAAAAATAATAAAAAACTGTTCCTATGAGAATGAATTTTGCCTATGCTAATACTTTCATATGCATATTTAAAAATTATAGGGTATTCATTAACATTATAATAATATACTGATTGACTGACATTATTTGCAAGATACTAGTTTATCTGATTTTACTTGCTTTGATGTTTCTTGTTTTTCTGCTATCCAAATATAGTTTTTAACCTTCATCCATAGAAAAAAGCAAGTGTTGATTAGGTACATGTGCTATTTTATTTTGGGCATAGTTGTTTGTTAAAAATACTACTTGTCATTTAGGATGTATATATTAGTTCACAGAAGATAATACAATAATACCTCAGAAATCTGAAGATGACAGTTTCCTATTTCTAAAACTCTGAAATCAGTGATACCATTAATCAATGACATGTCATAGTTTCACTAATATCCTCTTCTCAGTAAATGTAAATTGATGATGATGTGTACTAATATGGTATCTTACATTAAATGTAAAAAGATATAATACATAATATGAATTTGATTTTTTGGAATTACTTTTGGAATGATTAAGAGCTTTTTCTTTAAAAACTGCAGTAATAATACTTTATCAAAAGAAATAAATATAGATTAGTGATATTAATTTTAAGATGTTTAAGATTTAAATTTAAAGCATTTAATGACATAATTGGATCTTTATTTTTTAAATGGCATGATAGATATTTATCTGAATAGGAATTGGTACTTTTGAGTAATCTATAATTCTTAATACTGATCACAGACAGTAGTCAATGCTAACATCAAATACTACTTGTATATAAATAACAATAAACACATTGAATAAGTTAAGTTTATCACTTCATTTTCCTCCTTGGATCTCCTATGAATGCAGTGCACCACACATACCTGATCACTTCCTCCATCACCAGCAGCTCTTCTGGGTCTCGGTCATTGGTGTTTGCTCTGCTTTTTAACCTTTGCATAATGGATTGCATCAAGATCATTCTTGTTATTATTCTTTCAACTTCCTGGACCCCTTCTCCTGGCAGCCTCACCTCATCTGTCCTCATGCTTCCTTAGGGCTGATTACTACCAAAGTTAGGCATCTAGTTTGGCTGGTGTCCTTTTGTTCAACTTTTAATTTAGCTGCCTTCTTAATACTTTCAACAGGATATCCAGTTGATAGATAAAGTATATCTAAAATCTCAGATCTTAGTCCTCCATCTATCTCCAGGTCCTCCATGAGAAGCCTGGGTCTGAATTCTCTATTAATAGTGTCAATTCTGTCTTTATATCATGTAGAATCTGCCCTTTACTTTTGCCTCATCTGTAATTAATGCTGCTTTATCTACCATGTAAGGAACTTCTCTAGATCTTTATTCCAGCATAATGTCTTAGTGAAGTCTTTCTCTAGAAAGACTTGTGCGAAACTAAAACTTAAGCAAAAACAGTTCTGAGACTCTTTGCGCAGCTTTACACATAGCTCTTGTCACAATTTGGATATGTGATTTGCTTACTATGTGATCTCTATATTGTTTAAGGAAGCAGTACTGGAGTGGGGAACATTGTTTCTATGTTTTATCTTCAGCATCTATCTAGAAGAGTCTCTATTACACTTTGAATTACACACACACACACACACACACACACACACACACACACACACACTTGAATGAATTTAGAACTGCCAATATTCCTTTCACTGAAACTATTTCTTTTATGATATTTTCTTTCATTTATAACTTCTTTTTTTTTTGTAAAATTTATTATGTGGCCCATGTAGGATCTAAGGGTCATAAACTATGTATTTTGTTTTCTGTATCCCAAAGCTCATGAAAACTCCATACAAAGCATTTGTGTATATCTTTGTTCAGGACATATTTTAGAATATTTCTATAAAATGAATTTGAAGATGATTAGTTTTTATTAGGTTGGATATTTTCTTAGAAATTTAACTGTTTACAAAAATCTCATAAGTGATAGTGATTACAAAATAACCTCATCACAGTTTTCTATATGGAATTCTGCACAGAATCAGGCTTCAGTCATCATGATGCTAGATTTAAAACCTGGCAGCCATGAAATGCGTCTGTGTTCTGCAGGTGTACCCTTCCTGTCTGAACTTCTAATCAGTTCTGAGCTGATTATCACTATCAGATTTTTTTATCTGCTCTTGGTATCCACTTATTACTTAGTGTTCTATCTATAGCACTATTATTCACATTGCTATTTGAGCACATGCCTGTTAAAGACAGAATATCATTTCTAGTTTGAAGGTGAGATGGAAACAGAGCACTTTATTAGGTAGTGTTGAAATATGTTTGGTCAAGAGGGATCAGAGTTTGCAAAGATTAATCTAATGTGCTAAATCATATTCTCTGATCTATTGAAAGGCATTGAAACTCTACATTGTAGTAATTGGAAGACAAACATTTGTGTAAGGTTGCCTTCCTGTAGTGGAATACCTGAGAAAATCCAATTAACAGATGGAAAGATTTACTTTGGCTCAGAGTTTCAGATTTCACTTCATGGCCAGTTGGTTCAGTTGTTTTGGGGCCTACAGTGGAACAACACATGGTGGCCTTGGCCCAGAGGATCTCCTTACATAATGGCAACCTGAAAAGCAGAGGAAGAAGAGGGTCTGGAGTCTCATATTCCTTTAAGAGTATGTTCCATGTGCCTACCTCCCTTTACATAGGCTGTATGTACTAAGGGCTGCATTACCTCCCACCTGCATCACAGAATCCCAGAGACTAATGCTTCAACACCTGGCATTGGGCAGCGTCTGTAGACCCAGAAAGCATAGTGTTTGGTGGCGTACTGTATTGCTAATGTTTTTATTGCACGTTTAAAAGAAGAAAGAGGGTTACAAAATGTACACGAAATTTAAAGATAGCTAATATGGAAATATCCATTTTGTGTGCTATTAAGGACACTACAAAATACAAAGCTCAGTTGAGGTGCCAAAGAATAGACACTGAGAAACTGTCTCAGGAAACCAAAATAAATAAATAAGTTTTAAAATTACATATTTACTAGCCAAGTGGTGTTGGTACACACTAATCCCAGCACTTAGGTAGCAGAGGCAGGTGAAGTCTCTGTGAGTTTGAAGCCACCCTGGTCTACAGAGCAAGTTCCAGAACATCCAGGAGTAGACAGAGAAACCCTGTCTCAATGAAGAAACAAACAAAAAAAAAACAAAGAGAGAAGGAGGAGGAGAAGAGGAAGACAAGAAAAGGAAGAAGAGGAAGAAATAGAATATGAAGGAGAAGAAGAAGAAGAAAGAGAAGGAGAAGAAGGAAAAGGAGGAGGAGGAGAAGAAGGAGGAGGAGGAGGAGGAGGAGGAGAAGAAGAAGAAGAGAGGGAAGAAGGAGGAGGAGAAGAAGAAGGAGAAGAAGAGAAAGAAGAAGAAAGACATCATGGGGTAAATCAGTGAATCTATTCTTCACTCAGAGTCTTTTTTTTTTCAATACAACAAAGATCTTTCTTTATGTAGGAACAATGCTTCAACAACAGAATGATTTTCTTGGACACAGGGAATTAAATTTTGGTTTAGAAGTGGAATTATTTAAACTGTCCACCAATTTGAAATGTTGACTCTGTTCTGTTCACAGCTGTTTGTTAGCTCCCAAACAAGTACAGTGGCATCTCAGACTACAGTGGAGCCAGGCGGCTTCTGTGCGGTCCTACTGTGTGCATCCATCCATGACTAAAGTAACTGGTTCCAAGGTCACCAAGCTGAAGTGTTTTTTTTTTTTAAACAATCAATGTCTCATAAAAGCAATAAAGTGATTAAGACTTGATAGGGATGATCTTTAACCATTTAGTTAATTTAAATGGTAACAATATGGTCCCTGTTCTGAGTTCCTCAGAGCCTCTGACTCAGCTACTGCATAACCACAGTTGAATCACAGACATCTTGTTCTCTTTATATCCTTCTTGAATGGGGAACAAATGGGAATGGACACAAGCAATTTAATTTATGAAAGTGTCGAGTGCAGTTCACACATCACTTAGAATTCATGAAAACTTATTGATTTTTACCAACTCTGTGGGAGAAAAATATAGCATCTATGATATGCTCTGCTCTAATTTGGGACTAGTTCATTCCTGACATGAAGGAGAGGGATGTTCTGAAAGGTAATATATAATTTTGCCACATTCCTACCTCTTTCATAATAATATAAGTGGAAAAAATTGCAGATATTCCTTTCCAAAGAAAGGTTATTTGCAATATGAAAAATAAGTTTGTATCTTTTGCTATGATTTCATAATTTCACTTGGTCCATATATTACCAAAAAAAGCAATTGTTCAGTAGACGAGCATGTAAATCAGAAGTGTCTTGCTAAACATATGTTTTTGGTTGGTTATGATCCTTTGGAAGATCTTAATGAATACATTTGAAAGGATTTATTTTTGTCTTTTGTAGAGTTATTATGAATAATTTTAGTTTACTCTTCAACAATGCCATGTACATATAGAGCACATTTTGGTGATATTCGTCTCCCCGACCCTCCTTTATCCCCATCCCATGTCCACCTACGTCCTAACTCATCAACCTCATTCCCATTTTCAGTGTTTCTCTTTTATTTTTCTTTTTACTATGTGACTCTCCGAGTTTAACCACGCCTGGCAAAATTGGCAGAGGTGTGGAGCTCTCTACGGAAGCATGAATAACTCTTAGCTATATCTCCAAAGACAATGACTCCCCCTCCTTCAGTAGTCCCCACCTTCCAATAGCTCCCCCAAGTAGGGCTGGGGGAGCTGATGGTGCTAATGGAGCTCTTCCTCCATCTATGACTGTATGTTTATAGGCTCAACTGTGGGCAGACAACTGCAGTTTCTGAGTTCATGAGTTCATGGTCATGTTACACCCAGAAGACAGCATTTCAGGTCTTTGATTTCTATCATACATAAACCACATTGTTTATATAATACATAAATTACATTGTTTCTATCTGTTATTCCTCAGTGTTCCCTGAGCATTTAAAGCTTTAAAGCTCATGCCTCAACAGTAGCTTGTTCTCGTTACCTTCACCATCCAGGAAACTCTGTACTCACCATCGTTCACTGCAAAGAGAAGCTCCTTTGACCAAGACTGATAATATAGCCAGTCTATGGTTATAAGGATAAATGTTTAGATGACAATTGACAACATATCCATTTAGTAACTAGGAGTTTCCTTTTCCAATTTCAAAACAAGCATGCTCATTTTATTACACTAGAGAGACGTCTCAGTGGTTACAAGACTTACCGCTTCTGCAGAGGGCCTGGGTTTGATTCCAGTACACAGACAGTGCTTCATAACCATCTGTAACTCCAGTTCTGTGGGATTTCACACCCTCTTCTGACCTCCACGGGCATCAGGAATGCACATGCCACACATTCAGGCAGAGCACTCATCACACAATATCATTTTGTAGCTAAAAATCTTAGGAAATAGATAATATGCAGTGGAAAATGGTTTCAGCAATGCTCAGAAACTTGAAAAATATGAGGCTTCTTATTCATTCTTCAATAGGTTCTATTGTTCATAACGCAAAAGCTCTCAGAACAATTCCTTCTCATCATTAATTATAGTTTATCAAGTTCTTGTAATCAATTTTTATGTTACCAGGTAATTAAAGAAGATCATATTTTAAAGAAATTTCCTATATCTTTCTATTTCCGTGAAGTTTAGTGTTTACTGAGTCAGAAGAGTGGATGTTTGTTATGTCTCCATGTTATTATTTGGTGATTTCTTTACATTAGTTAACTTTTTGTTTTGAGCTTAGTAATCTTCTATGAGCTATTTGAAGTAAATAAAAGAAAATGTACACTTTTGATGTCCAAGCATCATCTAAATATTTTGGTGAGGTAAGAGGTGCCTAAAAGTCAAGTATATATTATGACTTTGTGGTTTAGTGTTCTTAGTGGATTTCTAAGTGTGCAAGCAAGTAGGTCTCTTACTCTTGTGTCTTTTCTTGGGCTCTTTCTTTTGATTGATTTTTTTTTCTTGTCCAAGTTGTGATAATTTCTGTTTTATCTGATTGTATTTTATTTTGTCATATGTTTTAAAAAAATGAATGAATTAATGAAAACCTGACCATGAGGATAAGGTTAACAACTGAACTGTTGCTCATACATTCTAGCAGAGTGAAAACCAGTGTTCTACAATGGAACGACACTAGGATTCCACCACAGCAGAGTCCTCATGTTCAGGAGCAGTTGACCTTTTCTGTATTATGTTCTCCACAGTTATTTGTGCTGTTATTTGGCTGCTGTTTGATGGTTTTTTTCTTGCATGTGGGTGGGTGGGGGTATTAATTTTGTTTTCTTAACTTGGTGGGTTTTGTTGTTGTATTGGGCTTTTGATTTTTGAGAAAGAAAAAAGTTGTGTGGGTATGGATGGGGAGATGATCTAGAAGGACACACACACACACACACACACACACACACACACACACACACAAAGTCAATTTTTTAAAAAAAGGAATAGATTAGGCCAGGTGGTGGTGATGCATGCCTTTAGTTCCAGCACATGGGAGGAAGATGGAGGTGAGGTCGGCCTGGGCTACAGAGTGAGTTCCAGGAAAGGTGCCAAAGCTACACAGAGAAACCCTGTCTCGAAAAACCAAAAATAAATAAATGTATTAATTAATTAAAAGGAATAGATTAGGCCTGAGATTTGTTAGTTAAGGACAGTTGATGTTAAAACTAATCCCAACTTAGAAACTTAAAAATAAAGATAGCTGATGCATAGGGGGAAAAAAGACTCAAGATACATGCAGCTTTATTTGATCTAGTTAGGTCCCCAGATGCATGTTGTAACTAAGAGCATTCTAAGTTAAAAATGTATTTAGTATATTTATCCTGCCTAATAGCCCAGCACAGCTTGGTAACATAGCTCGAGGTAGTGCATTGCTTCTTTGCCTCTGGGATTGGTGGTGGACAGGCAGCTGGTGCTTGCTGCCACTGCCCAGCATAGGGAAACAGGATCATGCCACAGACTGTTCATCTGGGTAAAGATCCAAATCCCAAACCAATGCACCTTTCTACTGAATGCTTAACACACGCATGTTAAAAAGTCAAAACTTGAGAAATCCTAACTGAAAACATCACAAGTTGAAGATCACTTATGAGAATTTTCCTAAATTATTGTAGTAAAGAAACTTTACTATAGTCTCAACAAAGACTGAACCAGTGCTTTGACCTGAAACTTATCCAGAAATGCTTTTTGGATGAGATTTGATCAGGGAGAGTAGAACATCCCCACAGGGAGAAAGAAATGAACATGATTTGGATGGCATGCATTCACTGACCATTTTGTCTGGAACAAGGAGTGCAGGGTGAAGAACAGAGAGAAAGCCATTTATGTAGTTAAAGAAAGAACTTGGATTTCAAGTTGAGGAGTTTATATTTCAAATTAGAAATGCCATTTGGAAAGAAAACACTTAAAATATCTGCAACTTGTAAGCACTCCTTGGATTCATGTATTTAGGCACAGTCCAGAATATCAACTGTCGTAACCTACATATAAGAACACATCTCAGCCCCAGGCCTGCCTTTGAAAATGGAGGAGCGAGTGACAGCAAGCTGTGTACATTGTTAAAGGTGACAATTTTGATAAAGAGCT